AAAAAAAAAAAAAAAAAAAAAAACTAGTGACATGTTGTGGTGGGCACCTGTAGTTCCAGTTACTCTGGAGACTGAGGCAAAAGGATTTCTTGAGCCCAAAAGTTTGAGGTTGCTGTGAGCTATGATGCCACAGCACTCCACCAAGGGGGACAGAGTGAGACTCTGTCTCAAAAAAATAATAATAATAATAAAAGCAAAAAAAGGAAAGAAACAAGTATGAATTTTGCTAGAAAACATTCTTACTAGCTTTTAAAATAGTGACAACCACGTATTTGTAACCATAATAATTAAAAGGACCAATTTTATTTTTATAGACTCCAAGTTTTAAAATACTTTTATGAATAAATATACACATCTTCACTTTAATTAAGTTCACATAATTACCATCAGAGCTTTGACTGAAATTACATGCCTACGATTATCAGATTTATTTGCAATCACACTAACCAAAAGAAATGAAGTTTGCAATCTTAGTTCTTCTCAGCAGGCTTATGCTTTACATTTATTCCATTTATGGCAATCATCAGTCCCACTGGAAAACCGGGAGTTTACATGTACAAGTTTGCATAAAGCACAAAATCTCTGAATGGCACACCTAATGGGAAGGGGATTTCAGAACAAGGTCCAAATCAAAAGAAAAGACAGTTCTTCTTAGTTGCCTATAGGTTTTTGGGAGATGTAGAGTTTTTTGAGAAGCATTTATAGAAATTCTGAGGCCTTATTAATATCTTTTCCTGCTTATACTTTTTATTTCCTGTTTTTACATTGAAGTGTCAACTGGAAAAAAGGTGGAAAGACATTTGTAAACAGAATCAGACAGCATCATCAGATTGTTGCTTGGCTTTACTTGAGAAAATTTTTGGTCCTCTAGAAGAAGAAGTGAACCAAGGCATTTATTCAAAGCCAGGGGGCTATCATCTCTTTATTCAGAAGACAGAAAATCTGAAGGAGAAGTACCATCAGGAACCAAGAAAGGGATTACAGGTAACCAAGATTCATCTGTGTGTTCTGGGATGGGCATATTTGCACAGCCATGAGGCTTTTTGTCTACATAGCACTTATGTTTTTATTCAATAAACAGATATATGGAGCCTATACCATGTACGTTATAGGTTATATCAAAGAGAGTACACTTAACTAATATTTGAGTTACCAGTTGAATTTTGAGATTAATCATTTGTATAACACATTGTTACAACCAGACATTTGATGCTTCAAAGGACAGAAGCCACTGATTGTTGCTTAAGCAAAAACAGTAATTTGTCAGTTTAGGCTTCAAGCTGGCTTGAGAGATAATCTGGGTCCAAGAGCTCAATGTCATCCGCTCTTTTTCTGTTTATTACTCCCTCTTATTCCCACACTTCCCTGCGTCCTTCTTCCACCTCCATCTCTCTGAGATGCTTTCTCTATGATGACTTCATTTTCCATCAAGCTTAGCCCTTGTGGAACCTCAGCTCCAAACCTAGACCTCTCAATCTAAAAAGACATGGAATCTCCCCTTCCCAGTATCTATATCACCCACTAAAAAGGACCCTGCTAAACTGGATGCTCTGATTGCCCAGTCTAGCTTGTGCCTGCCCCTGGGAATCTTGACCACCGGGCAGAGTAGAGCCAAGAGGAGCAATTCCTACAGGAACAGATGGTGAGTAGACAAACAGGACACCTGTCTACAGCCATTTCCTGCTGGCTAACTCTGTGTTCTCTGGAATCTAAGGCAGAAGAGGTTCTGCAGATGTACATAAGCTCCAAGCAATCTATGATGAATACAATTCTAAAGACAGACCAGGCTCTCACAGAAAAGGAAAAGGAGATTGAAGGTGAGGAGTACGTCAAGAAACTTGATCTTCACAAAAGGTCTTAAAAGTTTAAATATTTTTCCAAATAAAATTGTGATTATTAAACTAGAGCAAAAACAATAGTCATTCTGAGCATTGCTTATACAATCAATTACATTACAGTTACCCCTAAAGAAAAATGTTTCTAGGAAATTCCTGCTAACAAATAGTAATAATAACAAGTACATGTTTTGTTACATGAATACTGTGTCGTCAGCCATTTGTGGGCTGCTGTAACAGAATACCAGAAACAGGTAGCTAAATCAGCCAAAATTTATATCTCACCATTTTTAGACTGGAAGTCTGAGATCAGGCTGCCATCACAGTCCAGTTCTTCCTGCAGGCTTTCTTCCCAGTTTACAGATGGCTGCCCTCTCACTGTATCCTAATGTGATGGAGAGCTCTGGTCTCATCAAGTTCTCATAACTCCACTAATCCCATTATGGGAGCTCTACTCTCATGTCATGTAAATCTGATTACCTCACCAAGGCCCTGCCTTCTTATATCATTACATTAGGAAATAGGGCTTCAACTTGTGAATTGAAGAGGACATCAAATATTCAGTCTATAACAAACCAGAAACCTACATAACTTCTCTTTCTTTTCCTTCCCAGTGCAACGTAGAGAAGCTGAATCTGCAAAGGTTGCAGCAGAACAGTTGGAGGAAATGCAAAAGAAGACTGAGCAGATGATGGAACAGAGAGAAAAGAGTTACCAGGAGCATGTGAAACAATTGACTGAGAAGATGGAGAGGGACAGGGCCCAGTTGCTGGAAGAGCAAGAGAGGACTCTAACTCTTAAACTTCAGGTATTTTATTGTGCATTTGTTTTATCTTTCACTGTTCAAAATTTAAAACACAGTATAGAGCTTAGAGCAAGTAGAACAGGAATTTTCTAGCCCCTTTACTAATAAGTAGGTTTTTCATTGTACTGTGTCCACCCTTGGTCATCTCTAATTACTAGAAGCCACTTGTTTGCAAAATAAAATCTCATGAAATCTGCTCTGTTAAATCATTATTAAACCATAGCTATTCACTCCCAGGCTTGACATACGTATTTTATAGGCATTTTGTGATTGATTTCTGCCTAATGAAATAGGAACTATTATATACTCATTTTTTAAATGAAAAAAAATGTATGTAACTTAATGAGTTTTAGTAAATACTCTAGATCATAACTCATGGAAATGTGTCTGGCCTGGGAAAGTAGTGATTTTATTTTTTTGCCACAAGTGATAGGACTTTCTCTCTGGAAGCTCTATGATAAACAGGAAGACACATAGCCACTTAGCACAGTGTTTAAGCATCTAGGTCTATTCTGGAGTTTACATGTGTCCTGGGATGCTGCTGGAGTTTTGCAACCATGTGAAAGTCCGATTAGGAGTTAAGAAAGTCTTTGGGCACAGGTGAACATCACTCTTGCCAGTAGTCAACCATATTACAGCACCTTCCTGTTCCTTGGGCCCTGTTTGGACTCTGTGTTGAATCTGATGTCAGCCCAGATAAGCCTTACAGACTCCAGCAATCCCTGATGTCCTATGGGGATATACTACTAACATTTCCTTGTACTGGTCCCACTGAAATTTTGGGAACTTGCTCAGAATTCCCTGACAAAACAGCTCCTATGATTCTGAGATTCATGTAATAAACTTTCTTTTAAATGTCAAACATTCTTCTGAAGTATATCTATGAAAAATTCACATTATATAAGTGAAAGTTGAAACAAATGAATGAAACATTGAAATTAAGATTGAATAACTATGTTTAATGTGGAATCAAAAATCCCAGGATGGAGTTCTAGAGCAAAAATATCACAGGAATTATAAATAGAAAAAATATATTCTTATCCTAGAGGAAAACAAAAACAGAAAAAATGTAGTAAGAAGACTCCAGGGAGATGTAATGAAATTTTAGGAGGAGAGAATTTAGGAAAGAATGTCAAAGGATTTTGAGGAATTACTGGAAGTACTAAAAAAAAATTAACATAAAAATTATGTAATAAGGCAGCGCCTATAGCTCAGTGAGTAGGGTGCAGGCCACATGTACGGAGGGTGGCGGGTTCAAACCCGGTCCCATCCAAACTGCAACAAAAAATAGCTGGGCGTTATGGCAGCTGCCTGTAGTCCCAGCTACCCGGGAAGCTGAGGCAAGGGAATTGCCTAAGCCCATAAGCTAGAGGTTGCTGTGAGCTGTGACGCCACGACACTCTACTAAGGATGAGAAAGTGAGACTCTATCTCTAAAAAAAAAAAGTAATAAATTTAGTAATCTTCCTTTATTCTGTACTAGGTTGGATATTTCTTTATCTCTTAGGAACAGAAACGGCTACTCAAAGAGGGATTCAGAGAAGAGAGCAGAAAACTTCAGAATGAGATCAAGAACGTGGAGAAGAGATACAAAGAAACAAGTATTACCATCTATTTAATAGCTATAATACAAAACTCTAGAGAATAGTGGTTTCCAGCTTCGCATCCATAAGACAGTGATTATGGCACCAGCTACATACACTGAGGCTGGTGGGCTCAAATCCAGCCAGGGCCAACTAAAACTGCAACAAAAAATAGCTGGGCATTGTAGTGGGTTCCTGAAGTCCCAGCTACTGGGAACCTGAGGCAAGAGAATTGCTTAAGCCCAAGAGTTTGAGGTTGCTCTGAGCTCTGACATCACAACACTCTACTGAGGGAGGAGAACAAAATGAGGCTCTGTCTCAAAAAAGAGAGAGAGACGATAGTGGTTTCCTTTCCTACACCCTCTTGTCAGAGTACAAGTTCAATGACCAACTTTAGAAGATCAGACAACTACTACTCTTAACTTGAAATCATTACACTTGCATGTTCCCTAAGTCACAAAGTCTACAAAGATGCCAGCCAGTGTGGTGGGTGGTTCATGCCTGTAATCGTAGCACTCTGAGAGACCAAGGTGGGTAGATTGCTTAAGCTCAGGAGTTCAAGACCAGCCTGAGCCAGAGTGAGACCCAGTCACTAAATATAGCTGGGCATTGTGGTAGGTGCCTATAGTCCCAGCTACTCAGGAGGCTGAGGCAAAAGAATCCCTTGAGCCCAAGAGTTTGAGATTGCTGTGAACTATGATGCCAGGGCACTCTACGAGGGCAAAAGAAAAAAAAAAAAAACAACAACAAAGTCTGCAAAGATGAGGCTTACAGGTGAAGGCAGTCTGTGACCAACAACTGAAGCTACTTAATTGATGTTCACTTGTATTACTAATGGTTAATATGATCTTTTACAGGATGATATATGTGAAATCATCCACATTTGCTACTATAGATAATGTAAATTGTGTAATTGGGATAAATTTTATAACGGGGAGCTATCAGATAGCTTCCAATCAGGTAGACTTTTTAATTCTTCATCTATACCATACTTCTAGACCCTTAAACCACTTGGTCTTACTCAAGAGTTTACATGTATCCTGGAATAATGTTGGAGTTTTGAGAACATACGGTAAATCACAGTGGGGGTTACCAACCTTTGGACACAGTTGGGCATCACATCTGCCAATGATCAATAGGTCAAGTGCCTGCTGCATTTAGAAAGAAGTTCTCATCAGCAACCAATGTCAGTGCTATGAAATGACCTTCAGTGTGAGCATACAGTTAACAACTGAATGGAGGCTGCAGGGTCTGTTGGAAAAGGTAGGACACCTGGCACTATGGGAATGGATACGTAAGCAGAGGCTTAACCATCTTTATAGAAGCCTGCTGAGTAATTAGTGCCAACCTCGAGTCCTAGGTTACCTCAGATCTTTAAACTAAAGCAAGAACAGCAAAGACATGTCTTTACTCTTCAAGAGATGTCTGAGTGAGGCATAATATGTCAGCAGTATCATGGCTACCCCCATGGAAATATTTGCCCAGGGAATTTCCTCTATTAAGTAGTAACATAACAAGTAAGTGTGTGAGGGAGAAAGCGGCAACACGGTAATTCGACATAAATCCTTTTCTTCCTTTTCCTCCTCAGTGAGTTGCATGACGGCTGAATATGAACAGAATGCAGCAAAAATGGCAGAGCAAATGCAAAAAAATTATGAGCAGATGATGGAACAGAAAGATAAGAGTAATCAGCAATATGTGAAGCATTTGACTGAGCAACTAGCAAGGGAGAGACACTACTTAATACAACAGCAAAAAAGCACTATGGCTCATAAACTTCAGGTATTTAATTCTGTCATCTCAATTTTCCTGGTCATCCCCCAATAACCAGAGATCAGGGACTCTGACTACAGGCTAGCACACTCCTTGGTCCAGATAAAGTTTAAATCTAGGCACAGTACCACACAGTTTTCATTCTCTTCATGTTTCTGCCAGTGCCAGTCTGTTTGCTGAAGGCCTTTTATAAACAGACTACGCTCCACATATTCTGCATTATGATACCACTCAATATACATTAGTGAATAATTGCCAAGCCCTACATAAGGTGATTTATGTATATGCCTTACATATTTGCATCCTCATCTAATGGCATAGGAGCAATTCTATTGTACTTTTTCAAGTAACAAAACTACAATTTCAGGAGAGATAAGATACTGCCCTGTGGCATATCTCACAGAAGATCCATCCTGTCTTTTCTACCTAGGAGAGTCCTTAAGAATTTTGTTTTTATCTTGCTTGCTGTGATCATATCTCTGTGATCACCTTGATGAGTAGAAAGACTTTCTAACCACTGTGTCACTTCAGCACACTAGCTGCTAGGACCTTCCTATTTTCTGGGCCTTATTCCACATCCGTGAATAGTCTGAATGGTCAGACCAGAAGTGTCTTCTGGACACCAGTAGTATTAATCTTCTTAACTTTTTTTCTTATTATGCCTACCAAAATTTTTTAGGTTTATACTAAATTTCACAATCACACATTTCCCCTGATTCTCAGCACCATATATAAATCTTAGGAATCTTCCCATAGGCCATCATTCTGGAACAAATATTCATATCTGGGAAAATCCACATTAGAGTGAGAGTTGAAGTGGGGAAAAGTGTGAAAATTATATACCACTGCTGTGTTAAGTGCTAGTTCATGAATTCCAAGGAAGAATTCTAGAGCAACACTATTTTAAGAACTATATGAGTAAAACACTTTTGAAAATAGAGAAGTTTTGGAAAAATTAAGAACAAGTATAGGATCCTCAAGAGAGAGTAACATAATGGAAGTCAAGGGAGGAGGAAATTCGATAAATAATATAAAAATCTATTAGGAGATGAATTTAAGGAATGAAAGGAAAAGAAATTGTTGAACATTTGTTTTTTTTTTTTTTTGGCCGGGGCTGGGTTTGAACCCTCCACCTCCAGCATTTGGGACAAGCACCCTACCCTTTTAAGCCACAGGCACCGCCCCTTGTTGAACAATTTTTATAAACTCCTTTTATGCCAAGCCACTTTAATTATCCTCTCTCTCTTTTAAGGAACAAAAGCTACATTTCAAGGATGAAATTGCAAAAGAGAGAAAAATATATCAGAAAAAATTCCAGAATATGAAGATGGAAAGCAGACAAATGAAGCAATCATGTATTAGCATCTAAAAAATACATCTAAAAATTCCTATCACACAACCTGTGACCAGGGCATAAGTGCAACGATCAAGTTCCAAGATCCAAACAATTGCCATTAAAAATGAAATCATGATGATTGCCCTTAAATTATCCATAAATTTTACAAAAATGAAGTTTGGTGGGAAGGAAATGAGTTACCTACTAAGGCTGTTCATTGCATGCTTATTTATAGTAATAATGATTTCAGTGATCTTTTACTGGACACTACATGCCAAGTTATGCACACTTTCCCTGGAGAGATTATATTAATAATGTAATGAATATGCCTTTCACAATAGAGAGAGATCAGGCAGGAACTTAGGGCAGACTTTCTTTTCTTCATCCACCCATACTTCTAGACACCCTCAGCCCCATGCTCTTATTTAAGGGTTTATTTGTGCCCTGGGATGAATGCTGTGAGCACAGAGAAAATTAGATGTACAGTGAACAAGAATTTACAGTTGAGACATCACTCCTAAGTAGTTAGTAAGTTACATTTCTTCTAAAATTAAAAGGAGATTTTTGTTACCTATGACTTTCTAAGACAATTGAGTGAGTTTTAGAGTGCAGAGAGTGTACAATTTACAGAATGGTGGAAGCTTCGTGGTTGGTAGGCACTGATAGTGCTCCAGCGCCCTGGCAAAGAAGTGCTCTTATGTGCAGAGAGTACACATGTAATTAGAGGCTCAAATTGCTCTGCTGGTGAAAGCTCACTGGATAATTATTACCCTACTTTCAGTCCTAGGTTGGACCTTTAAACCAGAACAAGAATAGTAAAGATGTATCTTCACTCCTGAAGCCCTATCAGAGTGTGACAAAATATTTCAGGGGCAATATGGTTACCCCAGAGGAATTATTGTCCCAGAGAATTTTCTCTATCAAGTTCAAACATAACAAATAAGTTTGAGGAATAAAGAGGTAATGCAGGAACTCCACATAAATGCTTTTCTTTTCATCATTAGTGGAAAAGGAAAAAGCTCAGTCTACACAGAAGGTAGAAGAAATGACGGAGAAAATGCAAAGGAGCTATGAGCAGAAGGAGCAGGATTTTAACAAAACAGCGAAAGACTTGATTGATGAAATAAAGAAAGACAAGAACGAACGGCAACAAGAGCAAAAGGCCATCAATGAAAAACTTCAGGTATTTAGTTGTGCCATCTCAATTTTCTCATCCAACAGCCAGGGGAAAAAGACACTGATTGAGGTTAGCATACTTCTTGGTCCAGATTAAAGGGCCTTTGTAGCCAGACACTGTACAACAATTTTCATTCCCTCCATGTTTCTATCAAGGCCTCTCTGTGGCTGATGAAGGCCTTTTACAAGCAGACCCTGCTACACAGAGCCTGCACTGTTATATCATTAAGTACACAGTAGCAAGTAACTACCATGTTCTATACAAAGTGCTTTACATGTATTTCATATTTGCAATCTCATCTAATGACTCAGAACTATTTGATTAACCTTTTTCAAATGAGAAAATTGTAATTTCACAGACAGTAAGATACTGTTCTGGGATATAGCTCATGAAAAAATATCTAGCCTGGGCAGCGCCTGTGGCTCAAAGGAGTAACGGCACCAGCATCATGTGCCAGAGGTGGCAGGTTCAGAACCAGACCCAGCCAAAAACTAAAAAAAAATAATAATTTTTTAAAAATATCTAGCCTGTTTTTCCAACCTAGGGGGATACACAGTGATTCTGTTTGTGCCATATTATATGTCTTTATGTTTGTAAGCACCCTGATGAACAGGAAGGCTCCCTAACCATCTGCGCACTTGAGTTGTGCTAAGTGCCCAGGCTACAAGAAACTTTCTGTTCCCTGGGCACTATCCAAGTCTACATCGAGTCTGGATGTTGGTCCAGAAATGTTCTATGAGTAACTGCATTCCAAAAAACTCAATTGTTTTCTCTTGCTACTCCCACCAAAATTTTGGTAGCTTATATTGAATTTACTAATCAGACATCTCCCCTGACCCTGAGCATCATGTACAAATCTTCCTAGTGGATTTTGACTATCCTGTTTAAGTGTTCTGTGTGTATATGTGTGTGTATGGTGTAAATATCTACATTATGTAGTTAAGAGTTGAGATGATTTTTTAAATAACATATTTTAGAGAATGATTTACTGAATAGGGGTTAGAAGGGCCCCACATAGATTAATGGGCAATAATATCATAAGGAATATAAATATAGTATTTCTGAAGCTAAAAAGCTAAAGAAGAAAGCACAGAAAAATTAATATCAAGCATAGTTAAGAAACAAGAGGAACTTATTTGACAATTAATGAACAAGGTTAGTGATCTTAATTTGTTCTACACAAGTTTTGGTCTCTACTTTCTCTTTTTAAGGAAATCAAGACCATGAAGGATAAGCACTACAAAGAAATACCGGAAATGGATAGGGAAATTCCAAATTCTAAATCAGGATGCCTCTTGATGTGAAAAGTCAAAAAACAGAGTCATATTCTCTAGCTCTTCCCCTCAAGGCATGAGTTTAGTGGGTAACTTCAGAAATTCTCACATTTGGAACTAAACTAAGCCCCAAATATTTGTGAAGGTAATGTGTTGCTTTTTTTGAAGGTATATGTTCCATACTTATTCACGGTATTAATGATTAATACAACATTTAGCTGGATGTTACTAGAAATAACACATATTGGGTGGCACCCGTGGCTCAGTGGGTAGGGTGCCAACCCAATATACTGAAGGTGGCGGGTTTGAAACCAGCCCCGGGCAGCTAAAACAGCAGTGACAACTGCAACAAAAAATAGCCGGGCATTGGGGTGAGCACCTGTAGTCCCAGCTGCTGAAGACTAATTATCTAAGCCCAGAAACTGGAGGTTGCCGTGAGCTGTGACACCACTGCACTCTACCGAGGACAACAAAGTGAGACTCTGTCTCAAAAAAAAAAAAAGAAAGAAAGAAAGGAAAGAAATAACACATATTTACTCTTGGAATTTTTTTCAGATTAATATGAGGGTCATACAATTAGGTTATACAGTTTGCATTTGTAAGGTTAAAGTCCAAGTTTTAGTTGTGTCTTTCACCCGGGAAGCGCACCATATATCCATGCACTTTACCCATTGGGTAGGAGCCCACCAAACCCATTCTTCCCCATCCCTTACTTAAATCCATCTGAGCTTTCCTCTCCTATGAACCTGTTGTTAATCCACTAGTTTAAATTTAGTACTGAATACATGTGACGGTTGTCTTTCCATTCCTGTGATGCTTCACTTAGGAAAATGTTCTCCATGTCCATCCAGGTTGTTACAAAAGATGCAAAAATCTCCATCTTCTTAATGGCTGAATAGTACTCCATGGTATACATATACCACAGTTTATAATCCATTTATCTGTTGATGAATACTTGGGTTGTCTTCATGTCTTTGCAATTATGAACTGAGCTGCTGTGATAAACATTAGAATGCAAATTTCCTTGTGGTAAAATGTCCTTTTTACTTTTAGATGCCTGGTACTGGGACTGTGGGGTCAAATGGCAGGTCTACTTTTAGTTCCTTGAGGAATCTTTATGCTCTTTCCATACAGGTTTTACTAGTTTGTGTCCCACCAACAGTGCACAAGTGCTTCCTTCTCTCCACACCCATGTGAGCATCTGTTGCATTAGGACCTTGTGATTCTCATTGGGGTTAGGTGATATCTCAAACATCGCTATGACATCACTTCATGTAACCCACTAAGAAAAAAAATGCCTAGCCAGGAAGGATAAGAAAATAGGAAAATAAAAATAAATAATAATTCACATATATACATATATATATGTACACACATCTATACTGCCAACATTTTAGAATGTGTATCCAACATCTGTTAATGTAATCAACAAAATCCCCTCCAATTTTAAATAAAAAATTAATTTTACATTTAATTCTATTTGGTAGAATAGATTATCCAGGATACAAGTCCAAACTCTATAGCTATTTAGCCAAGAACAATAACATACATACAGTTCCAGCGTCTCAAGTGAAAACTCCACAGCTACTGCCAGTTGGAACCAAAATATCTGAATCAAATGCCAGAAACTCTACCAATATTAGCTTCAAGGGCCAGAATACCTCTCCCTTTGCATTTACAGTAAACAATTTCCTCCATGATTAGTAGCATCACATCTGCTCACATCTGCTTCTAAGGCAGACAGAGGTTCATCTTCTTGATAAGATCTAAATACTTTTGTGAGGTTCTGGGAATGAGGGCTGTCTGTCTTCTTTATTGGAAGTAGAATTTCATACATTGGAAAATGTCCATTCATGTTCAGGTGAGTCATTGGAGCAGGCTGTCCACTTTATGGTGGGAACAACCTACTAGTATTTTCATGCACGTTGAATACACTATTTCTTTTTTTTTTTTCCAGAATCTATTTATTTAATATACATCACAAGGGTTCAACCAGAGACTTAATTTAGAAAACAAACAAAACAAATATACCACCACAGCTCAAGATACAGAGTCTTTTATAGAAATCAAGGAAAGACAGACTATTGAAAGAAAAAATAAAAACACAATATAGGGAGAGGCTGGATAGTCCAGGTCAGGGCTCCTGGCTGGATACCTGCTTTGAGTAGGTTTCTTGCAGGTTTTTCTTAAAAGCTGTGGGGTTTTTCCAGAGCTCGGCAGCACATGTGTTCAAAGGGCTATCAATGTTGGGTTCTCCTAGCAAGCTCTGAATGGAAAGCAGGATGGTTCTGACATCATACAGGGAAGACCACTTGTCCTTCAGAATATCCAGGCAGAAGTGGGTGTCCCTGGGTGTCCCTGGGTGTCCACATTGGGGTGGTAGCAGGGTGTGAGGAACTTCATCAGGGTGCATTGTAAGGGTAGCCACTGGGGAACTCCAGGGAGAGCTTATACCTCAGGTCTACGTGTACTGTGCCAGCTGCTCCATGGATGGTCCCTACCCATTTGAAAAGGTTGCGTGATTCAGGAAATGCAAACATTGTCTCCAGACATCATGAGGGTCATCAGCTCCTGCTGTAGCCTTTTTACCCATGGGCTCTGGGGTGGTGCCCTCACTGGGCTCAGCTCCTTTAGGGCCACCCCGATGCTGGTGGCAGCAGCATCACAATTTTGGAAAGCCATTCCTGTGGCACTGACAGGGAGACAGAAACTTGGAAAACACGGCTGCAACCACTGAATACACTATTTCTAATGTTTGTCTTTGCTGTGATCTCTTAATATTCCTTATATTTTTTCCTTCACTGATTTGCAAGTTGTACAGTTTATTTACATTCTTTATATTGTGCTTTACTTCTAAGAATCATACTGAAGAAAGCCTTGTAAGGACTATAGAGAAGTGAAATTAATAAAAATGGAAAGTAAGACTCTCTGTGGACCATCCCTCACCTAAAAAATGAAAACCAACTTCATCAGAACTCTGAAAAAATAGTCAAAGGCCAAAAATAGAAGAATGAAACTGCATCTCTATCTCTCATTATAGAAAAAAGTTAACTCAAGATGGATTAAAGACTTAACTGTAAGACCTTTACCTTTACTAGACTTCAGGATATACTACAAGCCTATTGTGATCAAAACAGCATGGTATCAGCATAAAAATGGAACAGACTAGAGACTCTAGAGATAAAACCAGCCTCATATGGCCTTCTGATCTTTGACAAAGCTGATAAAGGTATACACCGAGAAAAGGAATCACTATTCAATAAATGATGTTGTGAGACCTGGTTGACCACATGTAAAAGGCTGAAACTGTACCTGCCCCTCTTACCACTCACAAACATTAACTCATGATGGATAAAAGATTTAAACCTAAGACATGAAACTATCAAAATCCTAGAAGAAAGCATGGGGAAAACCCTTAATGATATTAGCCTAGAAAAAGAATTTATAAAGAGGACCCCAAAGACAATTGTAGCAACAACAAAAAATAAGTAATCAAATTTAAAAAGTGACCTAATCAAATTTTAAAAGTTTCTGCACAGGATATAATCAGCAAAGGGAAGAGTCACCCTACTGAATGGGAGAAGATATTTGAATGCTACACATCTAACAAAGGGCTGATAAGCAGAATCTGTAAAGAACTGGAGGAAATGAACAAGAAAAATCAGATGATCCCTTAAAAGCTGTGCAAGGAACAATGAACAGAAACTTTCATAAGATGATAGTCTAATGGCCAAAAAATACAAGTACTCATCATCTCTAATCATGAGAGAAATGCAAATCTAAACCACACTGATAAGTCACCTAATTCCAGTGAGAATGGTTCACATCATAAGATCCAAAACACAACAGATGCTGTCATGGATGTGAAGAGAAAGGAACAATTACACACTGTTGGTAAAACTATAGTACATCCTCTATGGAAAGTAGTATGAAGATTCTTTAAAGAACCCAAACTAGACCTACCATTTGATCTTGCAATCTCACTTCTAGGTATTTACGCAATAGGGGAAAAAATAAAGGATTTTTTTTTTTAAACTGGGATTACAGGCGCCTGCCACAATGCCTGGCTATTTTTTGTTGCAGTTGCCACTGTTTTTTTAGCTGGTTGGGGCCGGGTTCAAACCTGCCACCCTCAGTATATGGGGCCAGAGCCATACCCACTGAGCCACAGGCACCACCCAATAAAGAACATTTTATCATAAAGACAGTGTACCCAAATGTTTATAGTAGCATAATTTTAATAACAAAGATGTGGAATCAACCCAAGTGCCCATCAATACATGAGTAGATTAATAAAATGTGGCATATGTATGTCATGGAATATTATTTAGCCATAAAAATGGTAAACTAATACCTTTTGTAGCAACATGGATGGAACTGGACATCATTTTTCTAAGTGAAGTACCCCAAGAATGGAAAAACAAACACCACAAGTGCTCACTATTAAACTGGAACCAATTGATCAACATCCAGATGCCCATTTGATAGTAAAATTCAACAGAAATTAAGCCAGCAGAAGGGGCCAGGAGGGTGGAGGCAAATTCACACCTAATAGGTACAATGCATACTATCCAGGTTATGGGCATATTTATAACTTTGACTCAAACTGTATAAAAGCAATTCATGTAACCAAAACATATGTACCATACCCCATAAAGTTCTGAAATTAAAACAAAATCAACTAATGTAATTCACCACTTTAAAAGTCTAAAAAGAAAATATACATGATTATATAAATAGATATAGTAGAGGCTTGATAAAATATGATACCCATTTACAGGGAAACTCAGCAAACTAAGAGTAGGAGTGAACTTGGTCAAACTGATCAAGGGCATCTACAAGACACTTGAGGCTAACACCAGACTTGATGAAAGACCAAAGGGTTTTGCCCCTCAGATCCAGAACAATGCAAGGATGTCCACTGTCACCTCCATTAAGCAACATTACACTGGCAAGAAAAGGACAAAGAAAGGTACATAAATCAGAAAGGATAAAATATTGTCCTTATTTGCAGACAACATGAATTGCCT